GGGGCGCTGAGCGGGGCCCCCAGACGCGGCTCCGGACCAGCGCTCTGCGCCCCGGCGCCCTGCGGGACCCCTGCGAGGTCGCCTGTGGCTGCGCGGCAGGCGCGATGGCCAGGGCTAGGGAAGGATCCGTAAGTGCTGGGGCTGGGATGGAGGGCCAGCCAGGAGGGGGCTTGAGAGTGCCTGCCTGTCCCCCGCCCCTGCTCTCACCCGTTTGGGGTGTTTGTGGAAGAAGCTGGATACAGAATGGGATGGGGGTTGGCAGGCAGGTAAGCTTAGCAGAGGTGGGACCGTGGGGCAGACAGACCTAGTGGAGCTCCGCGGAGCTGTGTAGTCTGGGAGGGCTTCCTGGTGTAAGATGCTTTGGGACTGGGTTGGCCTATTTCTGATGGGTCAGGATGGAGAAACATGGATAGTGCTGAGGTAAGGGAGGATGAGAGTCTGGACTTGCACAGTGGCCCAGGAAATAGTGAAGGAAGAATCTGCAGGGAGGCTGGTCAAGGCTTTTGGAAGCAGGAATTTCGGGTGTTCAAGTCTCGGAGACTTGAAGGCTGGAGCCACCAGGGACAGAAGCAAGAGCACAGAGTGTGGAAGAGACCTGGTGTGAGGGAGAAGACAGGTTTTGGGTGGTCACATTTACACCCATCTTCCAACCCAGTGCCACCATTGGCTTCCTCTTGAACTGATCTTTACATTGTACTGGGGTTAGTCTTCCACCTCCTCTCTGAAGCCTTCCCATCATTCAGCCAGAAGCAAACAGGGTCTGTTTTCTGTGAGTGTGTTTATGCCATGACATAGCACTTACGGAGCAGCCATTAATGTCTTGCATCTCTCACCTCTCAGCTGGATTTTAAATGGAGCCGTGGACAGCACAGGGACACTTCAGTGTTTGTTGGGTGAATGCTACTGCTGCAGAAGTAGCATCATTAAAATCTGCATCCCCACTGTTCACATGTACCATGTGCTGGGCACTGTGCTAGTGCTTTACCTTTCTGTCTCACTGATCCTCAAAACCCCAGGATGTGGGGACTATTTCCATCCTCATTTTACAAATGGGGAAACCGAATCTCAGGGAGGTTGATTAAACTGCCCAGTGCATTTTCAGTAAGTTTCTCCCCAGCTTCTTAAGACTGGCAGGGCTGTGACTCAAACCCAGGTTTATCTTTATGTCAAACTGGTGCTCCCCTCCTCTGCTCTGTGCCAAGACCTCCAGGGCTCCTTTCTGAGCGAAGAAGGTTCCTGAGAATCCTGATGCCTCTCCTAGTACCCCCACTCTGGCCCTATGCACAGCCTGCTCAGCCCCTCACTCCTGACCTGCTTCACCTGCCTTTCCATCCCCATTCCTTGCCCCTGTCCATTTTTTAAAAAGGCAACACAATTTCCAATAGTACAGTAGTAAAGAAGGGTACATATAAGTAAAGTATCATAAATCTGTTTTCCATTCCTGGCTCCCAGCCCTGCAACTGCTACGATTTTATGCATATCTGTGTCTATGTCTGTGCATGTTTGTGTGTGGTGCACAAATGGTAGCAGGCTATAATACTGTTCTACTTTTCTCATTTCATATATCTTGAAGGTTGTTTCATATTTGCACTTTTTTTTTAATCCTCACCTGAGGATATTTTTTCCATTGCTTTTCAGAGAGTGAAGGGGGAGAGAGAGAGAGAAACATTGATGTGAGAGAGACACATCGATTGGTTGCCTTCCACACATGCCTCGGCCCGAGGATCAAGCATGCAACCGAGGTACGTGCCCCTGGCTGGAATCAAACCCTGGGCCCTTCGGTCCACAGGCCAACGCTCTAACCACTGAGCCAAACCGGCTAGGGTTGCACACTCTTAATGTCTGCAATAGTCCATAGTAGAGATGTGCTGTAACTTTTTATTTTTACCTATCCCATTTTTTAATTTGTCAATTACTGTTGACATTCAATATTATTTTATATTAGTTTCAACTGTACAGCATAGTGATTAAACATTTATATAATTTATGAAGTAATTCCCCCCCCCCCTTAAGTGTAGTGCGCTATTATTTAACCAATGCCCTGTTGAAGGACTTTTAATCTTGGTATTCTAAAACAATGCTTCAATGAATATGGCTTTGCCCACACATGTAACTATATTTGTAGGATAAACTCGTAGATATTGGATAGCTGGATCAAAGGATATGTGAATCTGTAGTTTTCATAGATTTTTTTCCAAACTGCAGTCAAAAGATGCTGAAGGAATGTATACTCCCCCCATCAAATGCATGAGGGCATCCGTATAATTACAAAGCTGCTCTGATTATTCTTGGACAGTTGAGGTTGAGCCTCAACCCTTGCCCTTGAGGTACCTGAAACATAGGTTTCTTGTCAGTTTCTCCTGGGCCACACCCCACTTGGGGACGGGAGGGTGCTTCCACCTCTCCCCTGACTCACATGTTCTTCTCATCCTCCCCACTCCGGCTAGGACACAGAGTTGCAGAGAAAGCTAGACCATGAGATCCGGATGAGGGAAGGGGCCTGCAAGCTGCTGGCAGCCTGTTCCCAGCGCGAGCAGACTCTGGAGGCCACCAAGAGCCTGCTGGTGTGCAACAGCCGCATCCTCAGCTATATGGGCGAGCTGCAGCGGCGCAAGGAGGCGCAGGTGCTGGGGAAGACAGGCCGGCGGTGAGCAAGGGGGACGAGGCCTTCTGGGGGGTAGTGGTACGTCATGTGTGTATATGGAGCATTGATTACCCTGAAGCCAACCTCCTCATGTCAGGCCTGGAAGACACCTTGATGTTTCACCACCTCAGTGTGCTGCCCAGAGGTGCACTTCTGAGAAGCTAGGGCTGGACTCAGGAAAGCCAGGGTTTTTGGTGAAAGGCTGGCAGTCTGAGGGGTAGTAATACAAAAACCACTCATTTGCTAAGCCCTGCCTGTGATCTGATGAGGCTGGCTGGCTGGCTTCTGGAAAGCCAGTTTTCTCAAAGTCAGTTTACCAAATGGCCAGTTTGCTAAAAGGCCAATTTACCACAAACTGACAATAGTTTATTGTACCTGGGGTTCACTATCAGAGGCAGAGGTTGGAAAAGAGACTAAAAAATCATTTAAGGGAAAGTCTGTCCCTTCACATAAATTGTTATTATTATTATTTTTAATCTTCACCCAAGGATATTTTTTTCCATTGCTTTTCAGATAGAGTGGAAGGGAGGGAGGGATGGGGGGAGAGAGAGAGAGAGAGAGAGAGAGGGAAACATTGATGTGAGAGAGAGAGACATCCACTGGTTGCCTCCTGCATGTGCCCCAACCAGGGGCGGGGAGGGAACCCGCAACCTAGTTACATGCTCTTGATTGGGAATTGAACCGGAGACCCTTCAGTGCCCAGGCCAGCTCTCTAACCACTGAGCAACACTGGCCAAGGCCCTTCACATAAATTAGATTGTGCATTCCAAAAGGGCTCAGCTTCTTTCTGGATGTGAAACACAAGCTATACTAACATTAGACTCTGCTGATCTGAGAAATCTGCAGTGAAATGGTTGAGGTGATGCTCTGGTAAAACTAAAATATTGGAGAAAATATTTGGCAAATTGATCATTCCAAGAATTGGCTGTTTTGGTAAATTGGTCATTTGTAAAACTGGCTTCTGGCAAAGTAATCTGCTTGACCCCACAAGGTTGAATGGAAGAAGATCCTAGCTCAGCCATGAAGGCTGACACAGGAGAGGTTGCCAGGAGCCCTCCAGAGCTCACTCAGGAAGCCACAGGGGAGGCAAACCCACTCTATGCCTGTCCCATAAAACTAAAGGAAGGGCAAGCAGGCGGGGGGACAGCTTCTACTATGGGTTTGCTGTCTCCTGAGAGGCAGCCATCATTAGTCTCTGCCCTGCCCACAGGGCCTAACAGTGTGACTTGAGGTACACCCCAAGTCCCTGACTATTAACTACATTGACATTAGCATCACATAATTTAGCTTAAGGCCTGACTAAGTCGTGGATTACATTACTGGCATTATGAATTAGTATGGGTAAAGTGGCCTTTGTCACCTTAGGGAGAGACATACTTGGTGAGTCCTGATAATGGGCGGGGAGGTGAGGAAGGCAGGGTTTCTGGGGCCCTGCAGTGGGGCACTGGGAACTTGGGGCACTGGGAAGGCACAGCCTATCTAGCAAGGAGGGTAAAGGAGAAATCAAAGCTGAGGGGGAGGAGAGAGGTTTGTGGCAAATGGAACACAAATGTTCCCCACTACTTGGGTTTTTTCCTTTCATCAAAAACTGGTCAACTTGATTTTGCAACTGACCCAGTACCCTCCACTGCCTCGATGAGACGGTGGAGGTGACCATCTTCCCTTATTGTTAAAAGGAAAGGCTGCAGACTCCTTCAAGCCTGGGATTTCATGGAGAAGAGCCCTTGAAAGGGAGTCTCACTCCAGGCCCCTGTCCCCTCAAGCCTCATTTAGTCCCTGGCAGGGGTTTGGGGAGGTGGTAAGGGAGGGTGCTTGGAGAGGGGGAGCCCAGAGCTTGTACTGTGTGTGAATTTGTGTGCCTCTAGTGTCCCCAGCACCCTGGGTTCAGTGGACAAATCTAACAGTCCCTCACCCCTGCAATGTCAGCCTGGCTAGGGCTGCCCAGACTGGGGGTGGGTGGGTGGTCCTAGAGCCCTTGGGAACCAGAGCCAGGGGGAGTAGTTCTGGAGGCCAGGCCAGGACATTGTGATTTGCCCACAGGCCTTCTGACAGCGGGCTGCTTGCTGAGCGCTCCCCCTGCCGAGGCCGGGTCTGCATCTCTGGTAAGAAGCACCACTACCCCAGTCCCTGGTGTTCCTTGTCCAACAACAAGACCTCCTGCCCCATCTCAACGTCTGTTCTCCCCGCTCTGCCCCTTAGACGTCCGGATTCCACTCATGTGGAAGGACACAGAATATTTCAAGAACAAAGGCGGTGAGTTCCTTGCATGCTGGGACGAATGCAGGGGAGTGACCCTGAGGCTGAAAGCTCCTGTGGGGCACTTTTTTTTTTAAGTCAGTTTTGCCCTCTTTGTCCCCAGACCTGCACCGCTGGGCTGTGTTCCTGCTGCTGCAGCTAGGGGAAGACATTCAGGACACAGAAATGATCCTGGTGGACAGGACCCTCACAGACATCTCCTTTCAGAACAGCCTGCTCTTGTGAGTACCTCGTCTGTGTGGCTCCCTCCTCTCTCTACTCTGCCCACTGCTTTGATGAGGTAGCTACA